TTCTTCTCCTTCTTCCATTTTTTGTTCTTCAATCTTTTTTCTTGTGTCTCCATATCCTCAAACTCACTATTCTTCTTTTTCTTTCTAATTTAATTTACATTATTTTTCTTGTTTTTTTTCAACCTCCAACCCCCTCTCTATCTTTATCATTTTGTCTTCTATGACATCATATTATTCTAATTTTTATTTATTTATTATTTATTTTCTTTTCTCTTCACATTCTATTTTTTCTTTATTTATTTCTTTTTCCACATATTCGATTTTTGTTCTTCTTCTTCTCCAAATTTCGCATCTTCTTTTTCACTATCATTTTTTCTTTTACTCGTATTATTATTAGTTATTGTCTACATGTTGTATTTCAGCTATCAATTCATTCCATACTTTAGATTTTCAAGGATTTTTGAAATAATTTTTATCTTTATATAGTCCAGATCTTTTAAAAATCTATTGGTTTTGTTATCTTTCGATTTTATATTTACTTACAATTGGTTTAGGTTTTTTCTATTTGTGAATGTAATTTATAAAAATAAATATGAATTTATAATAAATGATTTTTAATTATGATATTGTTTTATAATAATTCAAATTTTTAAAAATACACCAAAAACTATACCCTACACCCATCAATATAAACTTTTCACCTTAAACTCAAACCCCACAATGTAACACCAACCCCTCCCTCCCCTAAAAAACCCAACACCCTAAACCCAAACCCCCCCTACAATAAGTATATTTTTTTTATTGTATTCATCGTTTTTGTTTTTATCTACTTATTATTCTTATTTTTGTAACTTTGATGTGCTTTATGTTTGTCTTCTCTTTTTCATTTTTTTCTACATAATCTTCCTCGTTCCCTTTGAAATGTACAAAAGATTTACCACTTTTTGTTTTCTTCTCCCTCTTATTATTCTCCAATTATCCCATTTTTTCTTCTTTCTTTCAGTTTAATATTTGTATTCTCATCATCTTTTTCTTCTCCTTCTTCTAATTTTTGTTTTTCAATCTTTTCTTGTGTCTCCATATCTTAAAACTCACTATTCTTCTTTTTCTTTCTAATTTTTTTTTACATTCTTTTTCCGATTTTTTTTCTTCCTCAAACCCCCTCTCCCTATCTTTATCATTTTGTCTTCAATGACATAACATTACTCTAATTTTTATTTATCTCTTCTTTGTTTTCTTTTCTCCTCACATTCTATTTTTTCTTTTTTTCTTTTCTTTTACCACATATTTGATTTTTCTTCTTCTTCGTCTCCAAATTTCTCATCTTCTTTTTTACTATGTTATTTTCTTTTACCCGTATTACTATTAGTTCTTGTCTGCATCTTGTATTTCAGCTATCAATTCATTCAATATTATAGATTTTCAAGGATTTCTGGAATAATTCTTATCTTTATATAGTCAAGATCTTTTAAAAAGCTATTAGTTTTGTTATGTTTTGATTTTATATTTACTTAATTGGTTTAGTTTTTTTTCTATTTATGAATGTAATTTAGAAAAAAAATATGAATTTATGATAAATGATTTTTAACTATGATATTCTTTCATAATAATTCAAATTTTTAAAAATGCACCAAAAACTAAACCCAACACCCATCAATATAAACTCTTCACCCTAAACCCAAACCCCACAGTGTAACACCAACCCCCTCCCTCCCCTAAAAAACCCTACACCCTAAACCCAAACCCCCTACCCCCTATAATAAGTATATTTTGTTTATTATATTCATCGTTTTTGTTTTTGTCTACTTCTTATTATTATTTTTGTAACATTGATCTGTTTTATGTTTGTCTTCTCCTTTTCATTTTTTTCTACATAATCATCCTCGTTCGCTTTGAAATGTACAAAAGATTAACCACTTCTTGTTTTCTTCTCACTCTTCTTATTCTCCACTTATACCATTTTTTCTTTTTTTTTCTTTCAGTTTAATATTTGTATTCTCATCATCTTTTCTTCTCTTTCTTCCAATTTTTGTTCTTCAATCTTTTCTTGTGTCTCCATATTCTAAAACTCACTATTCTTCTTTTCCTCTCCATATTTCTCATTTTCTTTTCCATTGACTTTTTTCTTTTACTCGTATTTTTATTAGTTCTTGTGTACGTCTTGTATTCCACCTATCAATTCATATGATAGTTTAGATTTTCAAGGATTTATGAAATACTTTTTTTTTATATTTATATAGTTGAGATCTTTTAAAAATATTTGTTATCTTTCGATTCTAGATTTGTTTTAATTGGTAGTCTTTTTTCTATTTGTGAATGTAATTTAGAAAGGTAGATATAAAGTTATAATCAATGATTTATAATTCTGATTTCTATAATAATTCAAATTTTTAAAAATTCACCAAAAACTAAACCCTACACCCACCAATATAAACCCTACACCCTAAAATCCAAACCCCACATTGTAACATTTTTTCTTTTTTTTTCTTTCAGTTTAATATTTGTATTCTCATCATCTTTTTCTTCTCCTTCTTCCAATTTTTGTTCTTCAATCTTTTCTTGTGTCTTCATATTCTAAAACTCACTATTCTTCTTTTCCTCTCCATATTTCTCATCTTCTTTTCCATTGACTTTTTTCTTTTACTCGTATTTTTATTAGTTCTTGTGTACGTCTTGTATTCCACCTATCAATTCATCTGATAGTTTAGATTTTCAAGGATTTATGAAATAGTTTTTTTTATATTTATATAGTTGAGATCTTTTAAAAATATTTGTTATCTTTCGATTCTAGATTTGCTTTAATTGGTATAGTCTTTTTTCTATTTGTGAATGTAATTTAGAAAGGTAGATATAAAGTTATAATCAATGATTTATAATTCTGATTTCTATAATAATTCAAATTTTTAAAAATGCACCAAAAACTAAACCCTACACCCACCAATATAAACCCTACACCCTAAAACCCAAACCCCACATTGTAACATTTTTTTTTTCTTTCAGTTTAATATTTGTATTCTCATCATCTTTTTCTTCTCCTTCTTCCAATTTTTGTTCTTCAATCTTTTCTTGTGTCTCCATATTCTAAAACTCACTATTCTTCTTTTCCTCTCCATATTTCTCTTCTTCTTTTCCATTGACTTCTTTTCCATTGACTTTTTTCTTTTACTCGTATTTTTATTAGTTCTTGTGTACGTCTTGTATTCCACCTATCAATTCATCTGATAGTTTAGATTTTCAAGGATTTATGAAATAGTTTTTTTTATATTTATATAGTTGAGATCTTTTAAAAATATTTGTTATCTTTCGATTCTAGATTTGCTTTAATTGGTATAGTCTTTTTTCTATTTGTGAATGTAATTTAGAAAGGTAGATATAAAGTTATAATCAATGATTTATAATTCAGATTTCTATAATAATTCAAATTTTTAAAAATGCACCAAAAACTAAACCCTACACCCACCAATATAAACCTACACCCTAAAACCCACATTGTAACACCACCCCCCCCCCCCCTCCAACAAACGACCCTACACCCTAAACCCAAACCCCACGTTATAACTCTCCCCCTCCCCCCAAAACGACCCTACATCCTAGACCGAAACCCCACGTTATAACTCTCCCCTAAACCGCACACCTGAACCCCACATTTTACAAACTGATTCTGGATTTGCTTAAATTTTTATTTTTCCTTAATTTTTTTTGTTTTAATCGGTAATGTAGTGTATTCAAATTTTTTAAAATGCAACAAAAATTAAACTTTGCGCCAATCAGTATAAACCATACATCGTGTACCCCAACCCCATTTTTTTTATTTTTTTTACTTCTTTCATATCTTTTTCCTTCATTTTCTACCGTTTTTCCTTATTCTTATCAAAATTTATAATCTCTTTTTCTTTTCCTCTCTCTTCATCGATATCTTTTTATTTCCTGGTTTTTATTCGTTTTCTTCCTTTTATTTACAGTTTGTTTTTCAACTGGCTTTGTGTTCTTATTCTTCATTTTTTATCTTTTTATTTTTCCACTTCTTTATTATTCACATATTCTTCAATTCTTTTCTTTTTTGTTTTGTTTTTTTGTTCGTTTTTTCTGTCTTCGTCTTCCAACTTTTGTCTTTCCTTATTTTTATTCAAGTTTTCCTTCATCATTTTCTAGTATCACTCTTTTTCTTTTTTGGAACATCTTATTTATCAGTTTCATTTTCCTGTTTATTTTATGTTTTATTTTTTTTCTAGTCTTCGCATATTTCTTTTTCTTCATCTCCTCATATATTTTTGCTATTTCTTTTTTCAGTTGTAGTTCTTTCATCTTCTTTATTTTCTTTGTCTTTATCTTCTCGTACTTTACTTTCGTCTTATTTATCCTCCGATATTCTTCTTTCAAATTTTCCTTATTATGTTATTCTTCTTCATTATATATGTTTTTTTTATCTAAATCCATCTTTTCGGGTATTATACTTTGCTTCTTCAATCTATGATTGAATCCAAGTTATAAATATAGTTTCACAACCACACACAATCAATAACCCACGAAATATATATTTGTATAACACGTCGATATCCACTTGCTTTCCATTTTGGTGTACCTAAATGTTTCGTCTTTGATAGCTTTCTCAAAATTCTTGTTACATAGCTAAAACGAAAGGGTCAACAAAGATGATCTCAGTTCATTGGTGGACATGGTTATTTGGCGTCTGCAACTTGCTTTCCAGATCTCCAATTTCTTCGAGTAATGCCTCCTTCTCACCAGTATCAAAATTTGACTTTTTTGGAGTGGTCATCCTCATCAACTGTTTTATTATATCTATTCTTCGTCAATATCAAATTTTGGCAGCAATAAAGAGTGGTTAAGACTTTGTTGATTCAATTTTTTCGACTCCCTATCAAGAGACGATAGGTGCGGTTATTTTTTTGGATGCTTCACCTTCACCCCCTTGCCTTTCTTTTACCCGAGAGGATTCTCCATGTCTTTTTCAAATCACTTGTGGGCTCTTCTCACATTTTCTTGACGTCTCATGACGTGAAATCTTCTTCACATCTTCTTTAGTTTTCTCTCTAACTAAACTATGCTCCCTTTTCTTTCTTAGGTAAGCAACCTTCTTTCTTGCTTGGTATCATCTTTGAACACCACCAACGTCCTTGACGTCTCGTGCATGGATCTCTCTCCATGTCTTCTTCGGTTAACTCTTCAACAGACTTGTGCTCCATTTTTCTCCGAGGTAAGCATCCTCTTTGTGCTCCATTTTTCTCTGAGGTAAGCATCCTCTTTTCTTGCTTGGTGATTTCCTTTGATCACCATCAACGTCCTTGACGTCTCCGCGCATGGATTCTCTCTCCACGTCTTTTTCGGTAACTCTTCAACCGACTTGTGATCCATTTTTCTCCGAGGTAAGCATCCTCATCCTCAACGTCTCATTGACGTTAACGTGACTCTTCTTCACATCTCCGGTTAACTTTGTAACCGTCTCCATGTGTGGATCTCATTATCCACCATGTTCTCCGGCTAGTTTGTGTAACCGTTTTCATACGTGAGTCTCATTATCCACTTTTTCGGTTATTGTGTAACCGCTTCAGTGCGACTTTCTCTGTTTCTCTTAAACAGGCGGCTTCTCCATCAAGTTTCAGAACTCTCCTTCCGTAATTCCGATTCCACATTCCGCTTTCTCCATAGCATTTGAGAAGATCTCTTATCTCCTCCAACTTTATTGGAGCCTTCCTCTTTAGGTACCGCATGTGGATACGTTTGTGAACGTTCATGGTGTCTCTCTCTTGTCACATCTTTTTTTTCTATTCTTCTTCTTCTTCTCTCTGGTTAGTCTCCATCTTTCTCTTCTTCTTGCAGCAGACTTCTTCTTATTCTTATTGTGCTTAAACAGGCTCCATGACCAACATAAGCTCTGATATTATGTTGAATTTTAGATTACGAAACAGAGTAGGAGTAAGAAGGAGACAAAACAGCGCAAGATTCAGGAAAGGCTTGAGTCCAATAAACCCAATAAGCATTATCTAAGCACAGAGTCACGTAAAACTATTAGCACAACATACCAAACTATTAATATGAAGATTAAATATACCAAAATGGCATAATATAGTACCTTTATGCATATCTTCGTTTTCTTACGACTTGGTATGCGCCCACCGTCACAGCGTCGCGTCGTTGATGTAGAAGATCATAGTTTGCCGTTTGTGTTCTCAAATCAAGGGAAAAGTGATAAAATTTAAGGAGGAAGAGAAAACAAACGATCACGACCTATCATTATTCCTTTGTTGACCAATTAGATTACAGTCGCCATGTCTTTTCAAATAAACATCTACGTTTGCTAGATTATGGCTTCGACGGAGCTTGGTGGCGAAGAGAAAAAAAGACCTATGATTTTGTATACCACATATGGTTTTATATTTATATATAAAGAGATTTAGGTCTAGATTTTAGATTTTTTTTAGTTTTCTATTTTAATGATATGATATATTTGTTTCCTTTTTTATGATTATTATCGTAAAATATTTATAATTAGAAATATAATTAGTAAAATTTAAAAAAAAAGGAAATTATGAATATTTGAAAAAAGGATTTTCATTAAGGGTAGCTGTGTAATCAATCAACTGAGAGTTAACGTGATGCCTCTAAACGAAATTTTTACTTCGCAAATAATATATTAGATTCTACTGTGGGAAGGACCAAATATGACTAACTAACTCAACCGTAATTGGTCTTTTACTTTACGTCCGAACTGGTTAAAGATCTGAAGTGGAGTCTTGTTAACAAATAAAAGAACTCATATATAGCAAATTAAAGGCAATTGTAATAGGAAATATATTGTTATCAAGCGAAACATCTAAGAATCGGATTATTGGTTGAGAGAAAGAAAGACACGATCTTTATAAGTAGTTAGTATATAAATAATCACAAGTTTCTGTAGAGAGCCATAAGCTAAAGAATTTTCATTGTATTGAAGAATAGCTGATTAAAACACTTTAATTTCTCATCATTATTATCGCAATCAATATCATTTGGTAATTTGTTAGTGGTATGGTAAAATTTCCCTATCCGTTAAACCATTTATATACGCAAACAAGAAGTTCCCTTAAAGTCATATAGAAACAAGACTTGCTATTGCAAGTTTTAAAGCTTATAACTTTTCTCTTAAAAGTCAACCATGTGGTATGGCGAGACAGCTCATGCCCATGTCGTCAACCTTAAAAATTGTTTTAGCGTTTTCACGAAGGAGCACAATAATATTAGCATCAATAAATAAATTGCTCATTATAAAAGCATACTGATCATCAACACCATTTATTGCTAACATCATCATGCCCATGCATGATTAAGATGGACGAATCTGACATATAATTGTTTTAAAGTCAAGATTTTTTTTAATATATATGTACACGCCAAAAATACACTATAAATTTGTTTATCTGGGTTTAAAGGCCTAAATTTCTAATATAAACTTACAAATATATGTATGCAATAAGCAAAAAAAAAAGTAAACCATTTTTAATTTTTTTTGTTGTAATAATCAAAATTAATTATCATCTTAAACTGCACGATTTACACTCCACGAATAAATGATCAAATACTGAAGAAAATCAAGATAAATACAACGTTTGTATCTGATGGACTTTATCGAGATACAAACGTTTAATTAGTTGATTCTACCTTTATCGAGAGCCATGTATCCTGCAGAATGATTGTATTATTAGAGAGAGATAACTAACAAAACACTGGAAAACTATGGATTGCAAAAGCCGAGTTTAAGATAAGTAGATAACTGTGCCTTTTGTAAATTGGTAAACTACATTTTTCATTTCGAAATTTTTCGGTTTTGTTAGGTGTTTTAAATTGATAATCGCAAAATCTTTACCGTTTAGTATGAGTTCCTTAATCCCGTAAACGTGAGGAGGAGAAAATAAATGGGTCCACATGGGCCGAAAACACCAACGCGATGATAAAGATAGAGAAGTACACTCGTGTGGGCTGGGCCCAGTGGAAAATCATGTTCTGTGTTTCCTATCCAATAACATTACAGGTTCACTCGTGTGCAGTCCCTTCGATCGGTATTAATGAACATTGGTCCGTGCCGCCGCTAATCGCCTTAACGCCGTTAACGTCTTCCAATCCTAACTGTGTCCTTTCAACCACACAATTCTTCCAATTTTTCTTACAAAACTAATCAACATTTATACTTCATCCGTTCTGTCTAATAAAAAAGACTAGTGTCTTTAACCATCAAGTAACATCATTTCATTTTATGGACTTTGTTAGTGAGTATTAAAGGCGATACTATTTCGTCGATTATTCAAATCTTGCCATTTATTATTTTATTAACTTTTTATAACATGATCGTAACTGATGACAGAATTTTTGTAGACTTTAATTAAATATAAAAAAACCAGTATTGAGTTTATAAAATGTTTGTCAAGAGATTACAGTAAGATGCGGAATTGACAAACTAGCTATAACTCTACAAATTGTTATATAAACAAAAAATTCCCCTACCAAATCAGTTAAAACAAAAAAATTAGCGATACAAATTCTTTGACTATAGAATTGACTGCTCTATATATAGATCTTTTTATTTTGGTCATGGCCCTGATGACCAACCTTCGTAAAATCACCAGTATCTTAACTCTTTATTTTTTCTCTTTAACAAAAAGGTCAATGTTTTAAATTTAGAACTTGTTCGAATTTCCATGCGAAGGTTGGAAAATGGTGGTCAATAGAGCATTAGACTAAGATTTAACCAAAAAAAGAAACTGCAAAATTAGGTGTACTATTTGTTCGATACGTGGAACTGAATACGAAATGTGGCCACATGAAGAGTTGGACTGGGAACGTACTCTCTTTTATGTAGCAACAGGTCGTGCAAATGTTAGAGCACTTGGCCACGGACGTTACCTGAATACGACTCTACCATCTATACATAAACATAATACCTCACTGGTCAAGTTTAGATTAAACGACCTCGTTATACTTACATTCTCTGTTATTCATTTCATGATTTTATAAATAATGCAGTCACATATATATACATATATAAATAATTGGAATAACTAATGCAATCACATGAATATTATATATGCATATATTTATAGAACTAAAGTCGTCTACTAAGCATTGTTCGAGCCTCGTCGAACTCGAGGTGGTTCTCGTTCACATCTTGTCGCCTTTTCGCATCCCCGTTTGTATGGATTGGCCGGTTGTTCGGGTATACACGTGGCGGGATGTAGAGGATCACAAGTAGGAGTCCTATCGCCACCTTTTATTGCTGGGTATCCAAGTTCTCTTCCGACTGTCGTGTTTATGTTGCTGATAAGCAAACATGCCATGAATATTGCCACGACGAACATGTAACTATTTGCTCCCTTCAAATTGCTCATGATTATGTGTTTTGTTTGTGTGAAATATGTTTCGAAGAATATGAATGTACTGTATTTTGTAGCGAATGAAAATGAATACAAGAGGTCGTCTTTATATATATATACAAAAGCTTTACAAGAAGAAGACAATAAATTAAATATCTTCTACATGAATTAAGCGTGACTCTAGGGATGAATGGTGAGTAATCTTAGGGTGTGATATCTTGATGATATCAAATAAAATCTTTAGTAAAATTTGTGATTGTGCACATGAGTTGCTTACGGTGTCATGTTTGTGTTTCTTAGTAGTTAGTACAAAGGAGATATTTACAGTGGAGCAGTAAATCTTTACAGTCGAAGAACAACAGAAGTGTATAGTGTACTTGGGACTTTCCCGCTTACGTGGACAAAAGAGGGACCCACACAACACATAAATAGATTTTAGTTTTTACCGTTTGTTTAAAAGCTCTCTTCAGCCAATTTCATGAGAGATCGTTTTTTCCCTTTTATATTTTCTTTTCATCTTCTTCCGTTCAACGTTTTCTTCCTCTCCCCTTTGCTTGCCCCCTTCAATTTTAAAACCCTTTTCTCTCTCTCTATCTCTATCTCTCTCTTGTCCGAATCAAATCTGTTTGCTGGAAAAGGGAAGCTTCGGGCAATTTTGCGGCGGGGAAGCGGAGGAAAAACCCTAATTTCAAAAACCGTGGATCTCATAAGTTTCTGAATCGGGCGGGGGGCGATTTTGCTTCTTTGTCCGCGATGGCGGAATTAGGGCAACAGACGGTGGATTTCTCCGCTCTGGTTAGTCGAGCCGCGGAGGAATCGTTCCTTTCTCTCAAGGAACTCGTGGAAAAGGCCAAGTCGACGGAGCTTTCTGATACTGATAAGAAGATGAGCCTCCTTAAGTATGTCGTCAAGACTCAGCAACGGATGCTCCGCCTCAATGCGCTCGCCAAATGGTGTAAACAGGTTTGTCTTTCTCCCTTTTTCGCAAAAGTTTACGTTTCTGGTTAGTGGGTCGAAGTGAAAGTTCGAAGCTTTCTTGGAATCGAATCAGATATGGTGCTTGATTTAGGTTATTGCTTTTCCGTTTCAAGCTCTATGAGTTCTG